ACTCTCCCTGCTCTGATTTCTTCCCCCTCCCCCCATTTTGCACCCCCAGTTTGGGCTCAGCTTGGGGGGCTCCAGCTCTGTGGCCCCTCCCCATGCTGGCTGTGGGTCCCCCCTTGCCCCCCACCCTCAGTGGGTCCTGCTGTCACCCAGCAGTGCTGGAATTCTTCCCCTTTTATTTCTTTTGGGTGGTTTTAATGTTTTGGGGGGAATGTCACACGAAGCAGCTGTGGGGACATGTGTTGCCACCCCTGTGGACATGTGAACATCCCACCCCACGCTCAGGGCAGTGACACCCTCAGGACACACCACCCCACAGGCCACCAAAGCTGGAGACATCACTGCTGCCATGTCTGGAGGTGGCTGGTGTGGTTTGGGGGGGCCATGTTGTGCTGTGGCCACTAGGCCACCTGCCGTGGCCACTGTGCCCTGCATGGCTGTCCCTGTTCCTGCCTTGGTGGCACCTGTCATGGTATCACCCGTTGCTGGCAGCACAGGGACCAGCAGGGGTGGGTGTCACAGGCAGATGACCTGAGGTCCCTTGGCGTGCATGGGGCCACCAGAGTGTGGTGGCTGGTGGTGGTCACAGACCTTCATGGCCACCATGGCAGTGGTGATGGTGGTGCTGCCTGCAGCCCCCTGCACAGCACTGGCTACACATCCCTGTCCTGTCCATCCCTTCCTTCTACCCCTTCATCCCTCCTCTCCCATCTGTGTTTTCATCCATCTTTCCATCCCTTCATCCTCTTCCTCTGTCCATGCTTCCTTCCATCCCTACGTCCCTCTCCTATGTCCATCCATCTTTAGAAACATGTAAACATAGAATGGTTTGGAAGAGACCTTAAAGATAATCTCATTCCAACCCCCCTGCATGGGCAGGGACACCTCCCACCAGCCCAGGTTGCTCCAAGCCCCATCCAACCTGCCCTTCAACACTGCCAGGGATGGGATGGAGCTTCTCCTTCCCCTCCTCCCTCTGTCCTTACCCATCTGCCCTTCCCTCCCTTTGTCTCTCTCAGTCTGTCCATCCTTCCTCCGTCATCTCCATCCATCCTTCCCTCCAGCCCTTGGTTCCTCCCTTCACTTTTCTGTCCATCCTTCCCTCCTGTCCTTGGTCCCTTTCCTCCTTCCTTCCATTCATCCTTCCTTCTGTACTTTCCCCTGGATGTCTTTCCTTCCTTTCCTTCCTTCCCTCCATCCTTCCTGGAAAAGAGGAACCATAGTTTCAAAAACTGAAAAAAAGGAAGACCCAGGGAACTCCAGGCCAGTCAGTCCCACCTCTGTGCCTGGCAAAGTCCTGGAGCAGATCCTCCTGAAGGCTCTGCTGAGGCATGTGGAAAAGGTGGAGGTGGTTGGTGGCAACCAGCATAGCTTTACCAAGGGCCAGTCCTGCCTGACTAATTCGGGTCGCAACGTCGCTGGACAAAGGAAGAGCAACTGATGTCACCTCCCTGGACCTGGGCAAAGCTTTTGATTCCATCCCACATGACATCCTGGTCTCTAAATTGAAAAGATATGGATTCAATGGATGGACCAGCTGGTGGATCAGGAACTGGCTGGGTGGCTGCATTAAGAGTGATCGTCAATGGCTCCATGTGCAGATGGAGACCAGGGGTGTTCCTCAGGGGTTGGTGCTGGGACCAGTGCTGGTTAACATCTCTGGTGGAGACATGGACAGTGGGATCGATGCACCCTCAGGCACTTTGCTGAGGACACCCAGCTGTGTGGTGTGGGGACAGGCTGGAGGGCAGGGAGGCCATCCAGAGGGACCTGGACAGGCTGGAGAGGTGGGCCCAGGTCAACCTCATGGAGGTCAGGCAAGGTCCTGCCACTGGGTTGGGGCAATTCCCAGCATAAATACAGGTTGGGCAAAGGACAGATTGAGAACTGCCCTGAGGAGAAGGACTTGGGGGTCTTGGGTGACGAGAAGCTCAACAGGAGGCAGCACCGTGTGCTGGAGCCCAGAAACCAACTGTGTTCTGGGCTGTGTCACCAGCAGAGTGATGAGGGAAGGGGTTCAGGGAGTCCCCAACACAAGAAGGACATGGAGCTGTTGGAGAGAGGCCAGAGGAGGCCACAGAGATGCTGGGAGAGCTGGAGCAGCTCTGCTCTGGAGCCAGGCTGGGAGAGTTGGGGTGTACAGCTTGGATAAGAGAAGGCTCCAGGGAGACCTTAGAGCAGCTTCCAGTGCCTGAAGGGGCTCCAGGAAAGCTGGGGAGGGGCTTGGGACAAGGACAGGAGGGATGGGATGAGGGGGATGGATTGAAACTGGAAGAGGGGAGATTGAGGTTGGACATGAGGAGGAAATTCTTTGCTGTGAGGGTGGTGAGAGCCTGGCCCAGGTTGCCCAGGGAAGCTGTGGCTGCCCCATCCCTGGCAGTGTTGAAGGGCAGGTTGGATGGGGCTTGGAGCAGCCTGGGCTGGTGGGAGGTGTCCCTGCCCATGCAGGGGGTTGGAACTGGATGGTCTTTAAGGTCCTTCCCACCCAGACCAGTCTGGGATTCTGGGATTCCATCCATCCTTCTCTCTGTCAGTCCTCCTCTCCCTTTCTGCCCATCCCTTTTCTCCTCCTGTCATTCTGTCCTTCTTTCCATCCTTTCCTTCTTGCTATCCTTCTGTCTATCCTCTGCTTCCATCCATCCCTCCCTTGGTCTCTGCTTCCTCCCATCCCTTTCCTACTTCCTTCTGTCCCATCCTCCTCTTGTCCTTTCCTCCTTCCCTCCTTGCCTTCTGTCCATCTGTCCCTTCATCCTTCTCCTCCTGTCTGCCATTCTGTCCCTCCTTCCATCCTTCTCTTCATCCCTTCCCTACTTCCAGCTGCCCTTCTGTCTGCCCTTTGCTACTTCCATCTCTCAATCCCACCCTCTCTTGCTCTCTTTGCTTCCTTCCAATCCCTTTCCTACTGCCCATCCTTCTGTCCTTCCCTCCTGGTTTCCTCAGTTCCTTTTGTCCATCCATCCCTTCATCCCATCCTGGTGTCCTTACCTTCCTCTTTTCCCTCCCTTCCAGCCACTCCTTTGTCCATCCCACCCCTCCA